AGAGCCTGTTTTGGGTGTTTGTTCCTGCCCCTGCTCAAGAGCTATGGGAGGGTTCAGTTTTATTCGCTTTAACCCCTATTTGGTGCTCGGTTTTGTCTTGTTCTGCTCCTACCCGAGAGGTAGCTTGGGGGCTTGATTTGGTTTGTTCTTAGTCCTACCCATGAGCTGGTTGGTAGGTCATTTGGTTTGGCTTTGGCCCCTGTTGGGCTCGGTTTTGGCTTGTGCTGGACTCGGTTTCGGCCATTTGCTGGCTGTAGTTTTTGGCCTTAGTTGAGGAGCTCGGTTTGACTCATTTTTAAGCCCTTGCCTGAGGGCCTGGCTTGTGTTTTGTGTCGTCCTTATTCGAGAGTTGTCGGATGGTTTCCTACTCCTACCCGTGAGACCTATTGAGGGTGTTCAATTTGATTTGGTCCTCCTTGTTGGGCTTGAATGACTTTAATGTTATTGATGAATCAAGTTTGTCATCCAAAAATACATGTATATGCATTATCTATAGAGTGTGGTGATTCAAAATGAATTGAGCATATTTCGCATTTATGCGGCTTTATTGGAAGGTTCTATGTTTATTTGATACATGAAGCTATTGAGTAATTTGGGAGTTGAAAAATCTTAATTTTGGCATAAGTTTGGAGATGCTGATGGTAGTCTTCCCATGGAAGATATTTTTGGAGGATTGACACCGAAGTAGGGGAGGTCATTTGTGGGTGATCGTCGTGTCGGTTCGGGCTCGTTTCGACTCGACTCGTGTGAAACAGGATTTGGAAAGGACACCCTCCTTGGATTGATCCAATTCTAACATAGCGAGAAAATGAGATTCTTCTGGATTGATTCAAGGACCTTGGGTCCTACCTTCTCAGGTCTTTTCGTTACGAGTTTTGAGTGTCGATTCATCCTCCATTTTTTCAGTGTTTTAGGTGGATTGTTCCCTCCTCTCTCTCACCCCACCTTTGTTCTTTTTTTCCTTGGTTTGGTTTTTTATGCTTATGTCTGATACATAAGTGTCCACGTATAGTCTTTTGCTATACGTGAAACCATCAAGCAAGGTCGCAAGTATGTCGATTTTGTTTTGAGGCTTAGGGTGGTAGATGACAAAGGCACGCCGGTGGTAGAGCAGAATAATATCTCATCCTATAACACCAGGACTCAGGATCCATCGGGATCTGATTCAGGAACCCATCAGGATCCGATTCAGGAACCCGGTGAGCTGTAGGATGACAATATCATTCACCGACACAAGACTAACGGGAGTTGACTCGATCTTTCATAGGTTGTTGAGGGTGTTGGTGGCCCTACGCCCGACAGCGCGATCGACTCGTGGACAACTACTTTTCAAAATTGATAAAAAATAAATTTGATAAGAACAGGTGCACCTTTTTCTAAAACAAAATACATTTTTCAAACAAAGTTATATTTTTCGCTACAAACAAAATTTATACAGCCCACTTTTTGCATGTTTGAAACTTATGTGCATGTTAAAAATATAAATTTTAAATACATTTTAAACATCGGTTGTCCACCTGTTGATCACCTGTTTAGGCTAAGGAGTACCCTCCTGAGTTAGGTTTGATAGGACATCCTTCTAGTTAAGTGGTGGGCTTTAT